TCTGTCTCTTTGACACGAAATTCATAGCGCCGGTCCCAGTAGCAGCGAGATATTGGTTCCAAGAAGTGACGTAGAGGGTGTGACGGGAACACTATTGGTGGGTGATAGGAAGTGAAGTTGATATCAGTTGATAATATCTGATAAGAGGCCTCAGAATGGAACTCTCACCATATTCGTAATGCGGGTCACAGCATCAGCCAGGTGTTGATTCCAACATATGATTTAGGGTATGGGACAGGAACATTATTGGTGGATGACAAGAACTGTCAGCTGCTGATAAGATTCGAGATGTTAGAAGGGTCACTGAGTCCATCACGCGAGTCACAGCAACAGTAGGAGGTTGGTTCCAAGATACGATGTAGGGTTTAGGAAAGGATACATTTTGCTGGAAAATGCACTGTGACGGTTAGGCGTATTTTGCACACTCTACCTCGCCTAAGGAAAGAGTGCCTGGCGAAGCCAGTCGTGACAAAGAAGGAACAAAGAAGGAGCGTTATATAATAAACGGAGCACCCGGCGGCAGCCGGGTGATCCGACTGGTTTCTTATAACGGGCCTGGGGGCACTAGCAGTGGTGTTTGCCCTGAGGAGTTCTATTTTTTTTGTCTATGGACTGATTAAATTCGACAGATCACCAACTACTTACATATCTATAGGACAAACAGTTCGGTAAGAGTTTTGCGATGGGGTCTAGAAGTTAGAAATGACCGCCTGAAGATAGAATATGTGGCCGTGAAAGCCAACGCAGTGGCGTATGCTCTGTCGCACAGGGCTGCAACTTTACCAGAGAGCATGACTCTAGTGAAGATTGGAATAAGTGTAGTTATCTGCGAGGTGACACCAGAAGATAGCGAATGGCTAAAAGAAATGAGAGAAGATGACGCTGTAGAGCTATCCTCAACAGTATCCATGTAGACAACGATTACAAGGTCGTGAAAATGCCTATATGCTCCCGGAAAATTCATGTGGCCGACTTCTTTATAGATGATGGAGAATTCGAAGCTAGCGCCAGAAAGCTCAATAATAAAGGTGGTGCCTAAGTCAAAAAGGAGAGAGTTGTTTGATGAGGCACATGGAGGTCTGCTAGCAGGGCACCTCAATGCCCGTAAGTTGTATCGTAAGCTCAAAAATTGTGTTCTGGGAAGGCATGGAGGCCGACATCTCGAAGTGGTCGAGAGAATGTTCGAGTTGTTTCCTGTCTCGCGCTCACGAAATGAAGATACCACCAATGAAACCATTCGCTACTGGAGGCTCCGTATGAGTTAATAGGGATAGACTCTGTAGAGTATGGTTTGACAGCACTAACTAAGTTCGCTAAATTGCATAAATATGTGGTATAGGCGCCAAAACACCATACATCACCAAAGTCGATGAAAACTTGTACGCAGGGGATTTGACCTAACAATAATATCACTCCGCTTGGGCCAAAACACCCTAAATCATCAGACGATGAAAACTTAGATACAGGGGTAATTTGACATCCTGCTCACGGATATGACATTAATACTTGGCACCGGCGCCAATTATAGACACTGTGGTCATCTGCGCTCTGCTATGGCTAAGATGGCCTGGAGGAGATCACTCTTTTTTCAGATACAGCCTGTCAACGTAATTGAAATCAACTCGTCCTGAGGTATTACATTGGACGATAGTTGGGATTGATGGCATGTAGAAGGTATGACGGACTTTCATCCGTTGCATCACACGGTGCCGAGTCGTGGGACAGGAACATTATTGATGGGTGACAGGGAATGATAGCAGCTGATAGGATTTGATAAGGGGAGTTAGAATGGTAAGGTCACCATACTCATAACGCGGAACACAGCATCAGCTAGGCATTAATTTCAGAAAATGATATAGAGTTGGAGATGGGGACACGGCACGTGAGGTGATAACAGCTGATAGGGCTGATAAGGAACGTTGCCAATGCTGTTCAGTCAAATTGCTGGAGCCTTTACACTACCAAATTATAGAGTTTCAGTGATAGGGACATTGATGACGGGTGACAGGATCTTATCAATTGATAAGAAATTATCAATTGATAAGAAAGGATAAGGGGCCATTATCATTACCTCTCTTATCACTATACCCCCAAGTATCAAAGGCCCAGTGTGCATACAGGGTGACCAAAAAGTACTGGCAATTTCGTATTCGCGCATTTTTTGAGTGGTCATCATAGCTTTTTTCTCTCCGAGAGGTCAGTTGCATTCAGCGAGCAATTTCGATATACTGTATGAATCGTCAATCCAATCACTTTAAATCTCCTCAAAATATCTCGTAAAAATCAAAAGGTCACAGTAGTTGGGATGCATCTTCTGGTCGGTGCTGGTTGCTACAATAATGTGCTCTCCACCGACGAAGGATTTTCCGATTGAAACTACCGTAATTGTCGTCAGCTCCTCAGAAAAGGTCAGCAGAAGGCAATGGCTGCGAAAACCGTCGGACGCAGCTCTTTCGAGCCTAGTCATGGTCTAGAGCGGGATCTGTGCCGCCGGAAAGGCGCCTTTGTCTTCACGGAGCGCATCGTTAAGATCAATGCTGTCAACTCCCAACAACGCGTTCTTCGCGATGTACTGAAGCCATGGGTGTCGTAGCACTTCGGTCTGGATGGATTTGTGCTTCAGCAAGACTGAGCTCCAGCACATTCTACCAAATCCACGATTCCCGCTTGTGAAGAGCTGTTTCCGAGATTTTTGGGCAAGGAAGTTTGGCCTCTTAACTCGCTTGGTCCAAACCCGATGAATTACTCCATTTGGAGCTAAAAATCTCAGGAATCCGATGCGCGACGGTGGACCACCTGAAAGCGCGTTGCTGCGTGCTTGGGACGAAATTACAGTAGAAGAATGCGCGACCATCTGGGACACTTCGAAAAGCGACTGAGCAAATGTATTGAGGCCGAAGGAGGCATTTTCGATCTTATGTTGAGACTTTGTTGTATGCTATCGCTGTTATTGATTTGATGAAGACTTCCAGTCCTTCAGGTTTGTTGATTTACTCATTTGAATGGTTTTTTATACTATCAAACTTTTTCGAAAAAGTGCCAGAACTTTTCGTCGCCCTGTACTTTTCCTTTAGCCATCAGTTCCCTGATAGCCCTTGAAAATGAACTTATTCTACTACCAGTCGGATCGCCCGGCTAACGCCGAGCTCTCCTCCTTCTCTTTAGCTCGGCTTCGCCGAGCTGGCCTGGCTTCGCCAGGCGCGCTCCATAATTTTAACGGAACGTTTTCAATAGTGGGCTGCTCGGCGATGTAGTGATCGAATCGTAGCAGATAGAGCAAGGCTTGGGATCGTGCACTACTTAGCACAGGCTTCTATTTGCAGCAGGGGTGTGGTCCGCGCCCATACAATACATAAATCTGTAGATATAGATACAATGTGTAGTCGGCAGTTTGAATCGCTCAGTAAAACAGCATATTTCGTTTCCATTACCTGCACCGAAATGCCTACCGATGTACCTTTTCCTTTTCAATTAGCATGCAATCCGCTCGCTCGTCGACATCCGCATTATATAGTAGGATGAGTTCATTTTCTAGCGCTATCATAGAAGTGATGGCTAAAGGAAAATTTTGCACACTGAGCCTTCAATACTTGGCAGTGTAATAAGAGATGTAATAAGAACAGCCCTTATCTTTCTTATCAATTGATAAGATTGCCTGTCATCCGCCAACAATGTCCCTATCTCTGTTATTCTATAATATGGTAGTAAAGGCTCCATCACTTTGACTGCAACGTTCCTTATCAGCCCCTATCAGCTGTTATCACCTCCTGTCACCTGCCGTCGATGTCCCCATCCCCCACTCTACATCATTTTCTGAAATCAACGCCTAGCTGATGCTGTGTCCTGCGTTATGAGTATGGTGACCTTACCGTTCTAACTCCCCTTATCAAATCTTATCAGCTGATATCACTCCCTGTCACCCATCAATGTTCCTGTCCCACACCCTATACCATACCTTGGAATCAACTTCCCACTGTTGCTGTGTCCCGCACTATGGACTCGGTGACCCTTCCCTTCAGACGCCTCTTATCGGATCTTATCAGCTGATATCACTCCCTGTCACCCACCAATAATGTTCCCGTCACAGCCTCTATATCACTGCTTGGAATCAACTTCCTACAGCTACTGGGACCGGCGCTATGAATTTCGTGACAGACAGACAGACACACACACGGACATAGCCGATTATATAAAGTAGGATAGGTGTCGGGTATTGGACAATCCTCTTCACCTTCTCAGGATCCGTTCCAATCCTCGTCCATCAAATGGCCCACATAAGACACACTCTCTTTGAAGAACTCGCACTTCTGGGGTTTCAGACGTAGATTCGCCATATGCAGCGCTCCCAAAACGCATCTAAAACCGTTCTTGTGTATCTGTGATGATCAGTATATCGTCAGCCTATACGAAGGCCTCCTCTTCCAAGCATGACCCTTTCAGAAGCATATCCAACACTGCTGGACTGGTGGATAGCCCAAATAGCAACACGGTAAGCTGATAAAACACTCACTTGTCGTGACAGCACTTTTTCTTGTTGCTTCTCCCGCGGCGGATTGCCAGTAACCGGAAGCTGAACCACCGTGGGAGATATCTTCTTCCCGCACTGTAGTACTGTGTCAATCTTTGGAAAAGGATACGAATCATGTCGAGTGATCTTCTTCAGTTTTCTGTACAGTACAGATTCTGAGGGATCCGTTCGTCTTCTTGACAAGCACTACAGGTGGGGCCCATTCAAATGAAATTTGCTCAACTGTACCACGACTGACCAATCCTTTATCAGTCCTTTGAACTCTTTGCGCACTGCTACTGGAGCTGGACCTAGTCTTTTGTTTTATGGGTCTTATGCTCTCCGGTGTCGATGTCGTGGACTACCAGGTTGGTCTGAGTCAACTCCGAGATCCGTTACGGCGAAAACATCGTAGAAATTAGACTAGCTTCTTCGCTTTATCCGGGAGCTTCGATTTTTTTCGAACTATTCCCAGTATTCAAAGACGATCATTTTAAGAACTCCATTCCCAGGGCTTATCTATGTCTAACATGTCCTTACTTTGCTCAACATTTTGGGCTTTGCACACTCCTCGTTCTTCCACTCTTAAACAACGGTCTAACTTTCTGAACACCACGCCCTGATCAGTGCTGTTGTTCACTGGTAAAGTCGCCTCTTTATCTTCAAAACGGTAGATTGCGATCAATTAAGAGTGGATGTGTGTTGAATAGAGCCATTTCGGACGGATATTTGCGCAGGTTACCGACAAAAGCTTTGTCGCCCTCGGAGGAATGAAGATTCTTTATTCAACTTTGACATTCTCTTCATCGTCCTCGCTTTCGCTTCTTGAATCTAGCCTATTCGGATGCGTGTCCGCTTTTTCTCTTGTATATATTGGACCAACTTCATGTTGAACTATTCCAGTGTTCCAATTGTTTCCTCCGTATGCATTTTCCCGACGCGTCCCTTACCTTGACTTTCGGAGAGGTATCCGCTCGACATAGTTGTCGAGGTTTATCTCTTGAATCTATCGCCTTTTTAAGCAGCATCAAAGGGACTACGGTCGCTTGCGATCCCGTATCCAAGAGTGCTCTGCCGTCATGCCAAAAATCGTAATTTCCACTACTAATCTCACCGAAATAGTCGCTTGTGACCTCGTCGGTCCTCATGTCTGCAAAGCACATCCACTTTTCAACGCGCGACGCGTAGGCCTCGATGGCTATCTAGTTTGCTCTGTGGATGTAGGTGTCTTTGCCTGTGGATTTGGAAACAGACAGTCCTTTGCAAAATGCGCTGGTTTCCCACAGTTGTAGCGACAGTAAGTCTTTTGCTATGCAGTTTCTGTTCACTTGTTCACCTACTGGACCTGCGTTTCTGACCTTGCATTCTTTCTGCGTTTTCGCTGACTCGGAATTGTTAAGGCCTAAGAAGGATCTTGGTTCGTCTTTACTCCGCTCCCAATTTGACTTGAATCGCTGTGTAGGCTTCGTCCTAGGAGCATTTCTGCATTCTGCTGCGGCTCTGATACTCCTCTCCAACCGCAATGCGGACTCCTTCACCTTTGTCATAAGCTTCTCGAGCTGTGTTGGTTTCTGAAGCTTCTATCAAGCAACAGCTACCATTCCAGTTTGCAAGCTGCCTGCTCAAAATTTCCTGCTTTCTGTAGCGCAGTCACTTCTTGTGGGACGCCGGGTACGCTTTATTTGCTGAACAATCGGACAGCAAAAAAATTTCGTAACTGATTGATCATCTCTTGGGGTCAACTTCCTCAAATCAGCCTAGAGTCTTGACCCTTTCGGTGTTCCCATCGACGCGCATGCGCTTTTTCATTGCCTCGACAACATCATGGAATGACCGCTCGCGTATTTCTAGGTTTCGAATATGGTCTTTACGTAAGAAACTTTGAAACGACTGCAAATGACTTGAATCTCTCCACTTATCTCTTAGGATACTTAATATCGAACGAAGATAGAAACCTTTTGAAACACTCATGAGGTCTACCTCCAAAAGGTTGAACATCGGGTAATGCTATCGTTCTTATATAAAAACTCCTAGAGAATCCGGAAAGTTGGTCCGCGCCTGTGTCCGATGAAGTTCTCTCTTCGCTCCTTGAGCCTTCGTTGCATAGTCCTTGAGTATCCTCGGGTCTATCGCATCCAGGATGACGGATGAGACTCCTAATGCGAGACGGGGCATAAGGTTTCGTTATATGTTGTGACAAGTATCGATTCGTTACCGCTGCCAGCAAACACTGATCCGTCGTTTTCGTCTTGGCTGCTTGCCGCTCACAAGGAGATGTTGCCCAGGTCTTCAACTCACATGCGTAGGCTTTCCACCTGCAATTCTATTTGATGTACTTTACAGCATAACTGGAAGATACTTTCTCGTAAGGTAATACCATAGAGAGTCCCTTAAAGGCAGCGCCCACGTTCATTTGATGTTCCCGCGCCCTCTCTGGATATCAGCACATACACATAGCCCTCCCCTTGAGGTTGCAGTATGTACTAGTTTCATCTCAAAAGACGAGAGGATAGCGTGGTTCGCTAGTGAAGAGTCGACCGCCCCGCCCGTCTGCCGTGTAGGATTCTATATAGGGCATTTTCCATGATTTTTTTTCTGTTTTTTCTTCACTACTGGATCACTACATGAGCTCCATAACTCATTATTCTTGAAAGCGGGCTCAGCCTTTGAAGGCTAAGCCAAAGCAGTTATGGCAGCCAGGTGGGCGGGGCGGCATCCTCTTCACAAGCGGGTGGCGCCATCCTCTCGTATTTTTGAGCTGCGAAATTAGTACATCCACCCTTGTCGACAAAGCTACGATATCTAAGGAGGGCGTAGGAACATCAAATGAACGCGGGCGCTGCCATTTAAACTGTATCGACAATATGATTTGTAGCGCAGCCCAAATCGAGATACGCAATTTGCTACAAACTTCATGTCGTCGAAATCGCTATATAACTGCTTCAATTGTTCGGCCTCAGAGATATTTGCTGTTCTCAAAAGATTAATTATCCCGTCAGCAATCCTTGGGCCACAGAAATCGCGCATTTCTTTCAGAATGGTGCGCACTATCTCTTTTACTAACGCGCTTTGTTCATTTACGGCTGCCACCACTGAATCCCGTTTAGGGTCATCCGTACGCATCGTCTTTGCTAACTCACTATCGCACTTAACAGCTATAGTAGCTATCTGCGACATTATCTTGTTAGAGAATTTGTCGAACTCCTTTATCAAAGCTCACCCCTGCCTCCTGTTCTGCACTCGTCCAGGTCCATTTGTTCCTACGGTTTTCCAATACGAGATGGAGTGCGCAACAACCGCTCGGGACTTGTTGACGAAGACATGCTCGTCAGTATGATAGCAGATATCGTTTAGATGTGTACTGCTCAGACTCGCAAGCACTGAACTCAACAGGAATCGATCACCAAACCAGTGGTACGCGACAATAGACAGCGAGTTCGACAAAAAAAATGCTCCTTGATTCTTACACTCTTGACCGTTGGCAACGTTCATGGAACGTACGAGCTGCTGTACAGAGGTCCAAAAAGACGTCAAAGCAGTCATGCGGCCGCTCTCCTTCCGAATGAAGTCTCACCAGCAGTGATCTCGATGGTACGAGCATTTTCTGAGAATTCGTGAGGAACATCCAAGAGGAAATTATTGGAGTTTGCGGTACAGCGCAAGCGGCTACGAGAATAAGGAACTAGTGGAAGGAGGTCATTGAGAAAGACCTCACTAAGGCAAAGGCCACAGCTGCAGAAAGGACAGTTGCTAAGGGAGGGAGTGGTGTCTCTTAATCCGCAGTGGCTTCGACCGGATGTACCGGGAATCCACTCCACAAAATATACTTTGAAAAAGAGATTGTACCAACGGACCTTATGAGGAGCGTTAGTGTAAACTGCAGCCAAATAGAATGACCAATATGAGTGCACTAGAACAATAGAAGTGAACGAACTTCAGAGAAATCGAGGAATAGTAAAAAACAGCGAATAAAATGACTACAACCGAATAGAAGAGGATGAGTCGTAGAACCAAAGAATCGCATAGCCGAGCAGAATATAAGCACCAGGAACGAGAGGTCGATCAGCCGAAGTGCGAAGTGCAAGAAAGTGGAGTACTACGGACGGTCGGGTATTTAGACCCCTGGTTGGCGGGCAATTTTGATCTGCGAGGCGTCGAAGGCGGGATGCGATTATGCAAGGCAGGGTACTGAGAATACGGTACTATACGAAATACGACGGTTAATGATCAATACTGGACGGAAAAAGGTGATTGGGCCACAGGACCACCGCTGTAGATGAGGAGGAAGTGGCGTCTGACAAAAACAGCGGTCTCCGCTACGGTGATGCTACGGAGAAGAAGCGGATGAGTATCACTACGGAGAAGAAGCGGATGAGTATCACTGACTTAATCGTAAACAGGCCGCTCTCAAAAGCGCCAATGAAACCCATCCCCCCTCTTCAATTATGCAAGGCCAAACAATTGCACTATCCACTTCACAGATCGCCTTCTGCACGGCGCCGTTGAACATGTACAGAATCTTACATGGAGCTGCTTCTTTTTGAACTGCCCCACCCCTCATGAATGCTTTCCTGAATTATCATCGCTGGCTGGCTCGCAGCGTTCAGAGACCACTGTACACTCATCTATGAGATCTTGGTCCTCGCTATGTTCGAGGTGACTGGATCCGTACCTGTAGTAGCGTGCCGTGCCGTTTTTCTCCGGTCAAAAGTGCGTGGGACGGAACTGGGGGTAGTGGCACCCTACTGCCATCTCCATACTTCGCAAACGCTGCCTCACGACCAGACACGCCTAACCATAGCCAAACGTGCTAGTTGTCTCTACCACTTCTGCTTGTTTTCTATGCGCTGCAGGATTGCAATGTCGACGCAAAAGTTGCTGCATGAGGGAAGCGCGGGCGCAGCCCGGAACGGCACCCGGGTTTCATCCCTCTGTACGGTCGTGCAGAAAGTGGCACGCTAGTGCAGCTGCGGACCTAACCTCCGAAACGACGAATTCAGGGTTGCTAGACAACTTCCTATCGAACAGGTCTCACAATGTGAATTTGCACGGGTTCAGTGGAATTTCCACACATATATGAAACTTTGGAATCCAGTGCAAAACTTTCACTTGCGTGAGAAAGAAAAGGTTAGTATGAGTGAGCAGAAATCCGAGCTATTCGCCCGAGGTGGAGACATTTCGGAGACATTTTGGTTGTTTGCTATTTTCTTCAGTACTTCGCCTTGGTCGAACTAGTTAACTCTTGCGGGCTTACCAAATTGCACACTTATAGCTGTATTAGACTTGCATGAGTAAGTGTTTACAAGACTCCATTTCGATGCGAACTAACAAAATGTCCCCACTAGCGTGCTACCCAGAACACAGATCCCTGCTTCAATCGGTCATGGTTCTTGCAAACGATAGGGGTGTAAAGGGGCCTGGATTGGAGCGCTGTCAAGGCGGCTCCATCATTGATGCCATCCTAGATCCGCAGCAGTTGCAGCAAAGGGCTATTCTGGCCTACCCAACTCACGCCCATCACAGGCCCCATCGTTTGCAGGTACCATGACTGGAGCCTTCGCGGTCCGTATGCAGGGGTCTTGGGAAATGTGGGATAGCAACCCTTGACTAACCAGACTTTACATTTTTCCAGACATTCTTAGTAAGGGGAACGACTTTTGAAAGCCACGACTGGTCCGAATGAGGGGCGTGTCTAGAAAATGGTAACCAGTCGGACATTCAGTTAAGACAACTCACCTTCCTATATCTCCCATCAAGAAGGTGTCAATATTTTGCTGGGAGCAGTTCATAATGGGGTTGTCCTGAAAAGAATTTCAAGTGGATTACCCGGTAATTACTACCGGCTCAAAGCACAATCATCGCGAATAGCTCTGAGTTTCTTCTGACTACTAGCAAACGAAGAGTTTCATCGTCCCATAGATCTTCCAACGGATGGCTAGTTATACCCACACAGCTCAGAATGCTGGTTACAAGAAAGTCAAAACTGCTATTTTAGTCTCACAAACGAGTTGTTTGCTGTCAAAGTAGCTAAATTATTGCAGAATCAGCTTCTTAGACGCTTGTAGCGTACACGTTCGCTTTCAGTTTCCCCTTCAATCCGATGCTAAGTTTGTGCCCAAGGAGTTCAGCTACCTCAGGCGACATACATATTTCTAGTCCATCAAAATTGAGCTTATGTGTCACCAAAGTCCTGCCGATGGTTGCTGCCGACAATTTTTCAGCAACATTTCCCTTTGAACTTCTTCCTTTGGCACACTCCCATTCCCAATTACCCATCCTCCCTACAACCTGAATGTGCTCACTTTCCTCTCCCCAATGTTCCACCACATGAAATCTTCCAGTTTTCTCCAAAAAACAGCCTTGAGCGGAGCAGTGGAGGGATCATTGGAGGGATCGAGAGGAGGACCATTTGAACTCAGCAACTGGGGACAGATTCACAAAAACAAATGTGAACAAGTACGACACCCCCTCCTCACACCGACCAAATACGATTCCCTTCTTTTTGGGAATCCCGACTGTGCCCTGATGTCACCATTATGTACCTTGAACGTAAAGGTAATAATGAAAGTTTAATCGATGGTAACTTATTTTTGAGTTTCCATTTTTGTAATCTATATTCCAGACTCTACATGTGTATGTGGAACTGATATGTATATGTGAAACTTTTCTTGTTATTCTCCCTGACCTTTTCCGAGTAGACGCGAGAACGCCCGCCAAACATGTTTGCGACCGTTTATGTCCTCACGCTCGCCACGAAGTAATAAACAACTCATAGGTCCTAATTAGCATAAGGAAATCATTACAAGGTCTCTCACTAAGCTCACCCTATTTTATAATCGATTTTTACTGCCTTTGACTCATACTGATACAACCGAGCTAAATTTTCAGCAGCCCGCAACAAACTCGTTATCAATTTTCACGTTCCTCCAGAATTATTATATCTATTTGTCAGCGGAAACTATCATCCATATTTCCCCTTTCACAATCGTAAAAACCTGGGCTGCAATATGTACTGTGAAACAGGTTTCTGTGCTAGTGAAACTGTTGACTATAGACGATTGAAGGGTTTACGTTCGCTCCAAATAGCCATCCAACCACAACCGAGCTCGCCAGATCTCTTTGCACTTGGTCATATTTGTTCGGGCGGATAACCAGAGTTTTTGATCCAGTTTCTGAGTCCGTGCACTCTTGGATTCATTCTACATGACTTCAGACTTTTCCATAACTTTTCCAATAGTCTTTTTGTGTGAATGATGAGAAAACAATCATCCTGCTCTGACATTTTGGTGAATCTTCCAATTTTGCACGTTCACTTCTCTACATTCCTACTTCTATGCTTTTCATTCGGTACTTTCTTTGAAGCAACTTTTCCTCCTTCGTTCTCCTTCACCCATATAGACCGCGCCCTCGTTTTCCTCATGTCCGTGTATTCCTTCCGATCCCATATGGTTTATCATTATCTCAGTAGCATTGGCCTTATCCTCGTTCACTTTGGGAAAATGTTTCCTACTAGGGCGAAGGTGGTGTAGTTATAGGATGCACGCTTACCACGCGCGCTCTGGATATCAAATCCTCGACCGACTTCGCTAAAGGTCAACCATGTACCTTCTATGCTCCGGACATGGTAAACTGGTACCATGTTCTTGTGGGTGCCCAGAACAATGACTTGTTCATCTGCTAGCCCCGGAAGTTATCGTGTGGGCTATACCGCTTTGTAAACCACGATCCTGAACTGCAGTGAAATGCGTGCCAGGAAGGAACTGATCAACGACAGAACTCTGTTGATATCGAGAAGTATCGAGTTAGTTCCGCTTCTCCTCTTGCTACTTTTTCGAACTCGACAACACTCTGTCCCGCATTTTCTGCTGGAACCTGTTGGGCGGATGGGATGTACCGGCAAATGGTGTTGTTCATCACGAACGCGTGGCTCGAGAGTTCATACTCGGGATTGCGGCTCACTTCTACCAAGCTATCTTTCTCACTAAGCTAGGCCGTTCGGGATCATGCCCTGTCCGTCTGTAAGGGCACAAAACACAGATAGCTAAACGTGAGGTGCGTACTCGTCTCCCGCCTGGGGTTCGTGCTTTTATTCGTATTATTCTTCTTATTATTTATACTTTTGCCCATAATCCTTTTGCATTCTTGTGGTAACTTTCGGAGCGCGAATTGCGGAGTAC